AAGTTTCATAAGTACTTGTCAGAGAACTGATATTGAACAAACCTACATTAAGATCAACTCATAGATCGTAGTTATGAGTGATACTTGATTAAAAGGTACTATCGTTGTATCCTTAACACCTAAGATACATAGTGGGGCTTGAGTGTATGGAGTGTTGTGCTTAGGTATGGTCAAATGGCGATCCTTAGTCGGGCATTTATAAAAGCCATTTTCAGGTATGGTGTGAACTATGCAAGATGCTTATGTAGTCAAGATGGGATTTGTTTCTCTTATGTGTTTAGAGCTAGACATCTAACACGCGTTACCCAAAGTTGAACATAATGAGTTCGATTGTGGTCCAAGTCTCATGTTCAACAGGATGTCCGTAACAAAGGGATAACTGATAAACTTACCTTATACATCAATTGAAGCTTTGAGCTTTTGAGAATTGTATGTTGATAGAATGACACTAAGTCATATATTATTAGGGGCAGTGAAATGTTTCTAGATGTTCACCACTGTCTATATTAATCTATGATAAGTCTTATGCAAGTGGGAGATTGAAAGATCTTTATGCCCAAGAGTCATTATAAAATGATATTGCTAGATAATATATGATCTTAAAGGGTCACACTAACAACTTTATCCAAATATATTATTTATAAGAATTTAATTCTTGATAAATAAATATAGTTCTAGTAATTAATTGGAAATTATTTATTTTTGGGAAAATAATATTATTTCAATATAAATATCATAATATATCATAAAATATGGTATGATTTATTAGGTCATGTACATCTTTTGGACTATAAAGACTTTTGTCTTTTAGCTAAAAGGGTAATGTTTTATATCTTATAAAAGACTTGAAGATTTTTTTTATAAAATCTTCTATTTTTCTTTATAAATAAATAAAAAAAACATGAGCTAACCATGGTGTAAGAGAATATGCTATTTTGATTATAATATTCAAGGGGACATGCTTTAGAAGCATGTCTTGAAAGTATTATTAAGATATAGGCTTTAGAGGAATGTTGCTTAAAGTGTTAAGACCTATGGGATAAAGATTTGGTTAAAAGCCTTAAGAAATGCCTTAATTAGATCATTCTAACTAGCAAACCCATGAAATTTTGCTCTTTCCCTTTATATATACTCTCTATCTTTTGTTTTCTTAAATGGTTAAGTCGTAAGAAGATGTTTGATACTTTACTAAGGTGGTGTTTGTTTTTTATAAAAAACTTCTTCTTACCACTTATTGCTGCGCGACACAGCACATGCGCATCACTTTTCCCGTCCTCTGCCCCATGCAACATTGGGCTTGGCTCTTCTTACCTCTTCCTAACATAATCTAAAAAAACGCCTAACCTAATTAAAAGAAAAAAAGAAGCGGACAACACAGTTCCATCGCCGCATCTGCTTTCGTTGCTTTCATTCTCAGGTTTCGTCAAATCGGACGTAGGAGACCTTCGTCCACCCCCCTTTGATCACCCTTCGCAGGTCTGCTGGTCGTCATCTTCAAGCTCTGTTTCGTTGCCGGCGTCTAGACGCAGGTAAGGGTTTTTTTTTCTTTCTGATTTCTGATATTGTCTTCATGCTTCTTGAAATCGGTTTTTGCTGAGTTGTTTAGAATATTTGTGGTAGAATGAATTATAAATGCAATTTTCTAATTTTTGCAATTTATGTTGATTTGTGATGTAGTTGTTCCTATAAGCTATTCATGTTGTATTTTTTGTTGAAATCAGAAAGTTATGCATAATTTGTGCTGATTTGTTATCAATGTTTCTTAAAATCTTTACTGAAATCAGAAACTTATATGAAAATTTATGCTTATTTGCTGATTTTATTGTATAATCTTTGCTTATATGGTTTTTTTTTCTGATTCATGTTGCATTGTTGTTGAAATGTCATCAATTTAAGTTATTATTATGTTGAAATATCATTTTATTTGTTGCTAAAGTATGCATTCAATTTTTTTTGTTATTAGCAATGGGAGATAAACATACATGGACCAATGAGCAAATAAAATTCTTATTGCATACTTGTATTGAAGAAGTACAAATTGTGGGTAGAAAAGGTTTGAGTTTGCACAAACATTCATGGAACAAGTTAGGAACAACCATTAAGGAAAAGTATGGCTTGGATTTGACTCAAAGACAATTAAAAACACACCTATGACAACCTTAAAGCCAAATACACAGGATGGTTATACTTGAAAAACAAAACTGGCAACCTTTACAATCCTGAAACAAATACTTTTAACTTAACAAATGAGGAGTGGGAGGACTTTAAAAAGGTATATATATATATATACACATATTTATATGTATTTTGTTAATATAGTTGGAAATTATTCTTATACTACTTTTGTTACATTTATTAGGTTTAGGGACATCCGAAAGCAACTTCTTTGAAAACTGTCCCATTGTTGTTTCCAGAGCTTTGTGCTGAACTCTTTGATGGAAATAGTGCCTCTGGTAATCTAAGTTATGCCACATCCCAAAAACCATCGGGACATGGATCATCTTCTTGCCATGTCGTACCACTACAACTTATGGACACCCCTTCTATTAACATACATGAGGATGATTACTTTTCCAATCATACTAGTGAGCATTTTACTTAGCCGCCACCTTCTGCTACTTCACCTTCTGTTGATTCACCTTCTGCTGCTTCACCTATTGGTAACCCCAACAAAAGGGCAAAACCCTCAACTCCTAGACCTCAAGCTCCTAGTGCTTCAACTTATACACCTTCTAGTGCCTCACCTAAAGCTTCTATTACTGCTGATGATTTAGCACTGGAGATGCAAAAAGCTCTACGACATCTGACTCAAGGGCCTACAATTCCTCAATGTTTAGAGAAGCTAGAGTTGTTCGAGTTAGGCCCAGTAGACCATCTACGATTTTCCGCTTATCACAGTTTTGGAGGGACAATGAATATAAGAGAGATGTGGGTAAATTTGACCAATGATCCACATATATTAAGAGGATGGATCGAGATGAATGCTACAAGTTTAGGAGTTTTAAAGGATGGAAAGATTGTCCGTTAAGTTTACATATTGGAGTTGTTTAGGTTTTAATTACATGTGTTGGAACTATGTGGTTATATTTTTTGGTTATTTGGTACTTGAATGTTATTTATGGTATTTGATACTTGAATTTTATGTTATTTGGTATTTGAAGTTTATGTTATTTGGTACTTGAGTTTTATGTTTTACTATTTGGTGCACTTGAATTATGTTATTATGTTATGTTATTTTGTATTTGATTTATGTTATTATATTATGTTATTTGGTACTTAAGTTTTATTTTATATTATTTAATACTTGAGTTGTATGTTTTTTTAATGTACTTGTGTTGATTAATAGGTTCCTAATGGATCACGACAAAAAGATACTTCTCATAATTCTAATGTACTTGTATGTCCGCTACTTTTGGAAGAGGGGTGTGAAACGAGTGTGGGACAACGATTCGAAAATGACGAGACATGAATTTACGTTAGAGTTACTTCACTGTAATCCTCTACAATGTGTCGAAGTACTACACATGTCTCGTGATTCATTTGTTCGACTATGTGCACATTTTAGAGTAAATTACGCGTTAAAGGATAGCAAAAATGTATCGGTTGAGGAAAATGAATGATCTTTTTTACAGATAAATATTATCTTTATGATGCCGCCTATGCAAACATTCGAGGTTTTATGGCACCGTATCGTAATGTGAGGTATTGGCTTGGAGATTTTTGTCGAATACATGCATTAACGAATAAAGAAAAATTTAACCATGCACACGCAAAACTTCGGAATGTCATTGAGCGTGCTTTTGGTGTCTTGAAAGCACGATTCCCTATATTGAAGAGGATGGTGCCATTCTTGTTGGTTACACAACAAAACATTACCCTTGCATGTTTCACGCTTCATAATTTTATAAGAAGAGAGGGACTACGCGATGAGTATTTTGCACAATATGATGAACCAAATGCCTCGGTTCGAAATAACAATGCAGTCGTTGATAATGATGAAGATGAGATTCCAACACATGGTACTGCAGCGGACCGTGAATATATGACCCGGTTACGGGATGAAATTGCCGAACAATTGATGCAAAATATGGATTGAGAATTATTAAAGTTTGGTTGTACGAATTTTATTTAAAAATGTTATTGTAAGACTAATTTGGTTGTATGAATTTTATTTCAATGTTTTAAGACTACAATTATTAAATTTAGAGTATTAAAAAACTATTTTCGGTTTATTAAATCACTTTATTTTAATTTTTTTAATATCTGCAGATATTAAAAAAACAAACACGCTTCTTATTACACTCTGCAGCCGTTTGGTCCACCTCTTCTGCTGCAGAGGGTTGCAGAGGTAGTCCGCAGACTTCCGACATTTTCGCTTCGAAAAAACAAACAACACCTAAAACTCTCCTTTAGAACAAAAACCTTGTTTTGTTCTTAAAGGCTTAAGAGTATCATTATTACAAGAAGAAAACTATCATCTTACCAAGTTGGCTAAATGTTGGTGGATACTTTTAGAGAGCTTCTTCCCTTGGAGCTTAAAGTCATCTTCGTTAACTTCCTAATTGCCAAAAAGAACCAAAGTCTTCAAAGGTTGTTTCATTTTCTTCTTCTTAATGTTATTTAATATTTCTAATTCTTGCAAAATGATCTTTTGGTGGGAATGAAACTAGTTTTATTTTGTTCAAAATTAAAGTCTTTTTTTGTTATCTTTATGTTTATGAAACAATTTTTGAATAAAACCACAACAAAAAAAACAAGGGACGATGCAATAATACTTCAGACTTTATGTTAATGCACATGCATAAAAAGGACAATACAATAACAACCAATGCCAGTAGAAATCATTACATATAATAAGGATATAGAATCTTTCAAAAGTTGACATCCCAACATTTTTTTTACTACAAAAAAAAAAGATGTCATTAAAGGTGATAGGTTTAGCCATGCACATTCATAAAAAGGATACTCCCCATGCACTCCCCATCTATCCTACGCATAACTTATCTGATGGTAACGGGTTTTTCTGCAATGCTCCCCTCTCCATTCTTTCCCATAATTTGGGTAGCCAATTTTTTCTTGATGATCATTTCACTCTTTTTCCTCCTCTTAACTTGTGGAATTCGTCCATTAACCCTCTCCAATGTCACTTGTGAAGTCCCAGTCTCCCTTATAACTTTTGTACCCCGACCTTCCATTCCAGTCCCACCTCCACCTTCCACTCCACATGCCACTTGTGAAGTACCACTCTCCATATTTTGACCCTATCATGCAAAGATTATATATTGTTATATAACACATAGTTATTAACGAATAAGAAATAAGAAACTGAAGTGGTAAATACCTTTGTTGTCTTAGTCCTCTTAACCCTTGTTGGTAACTTCTCTAGTCTTGGCCTATCAAAGGATGGACAAGTCTTCTTATTATCACCTTCCCCTTGGCACAAATTACATGATATTTTCTTACCCTTCTTTGACACTCTATGTTTTCCCACTTTTTCAATCATATCTATTACTCTTTTTGTTTTGGGCCTTCCAGGCATCCTTCCATTATTTTTTTGGGGGGGGGGGGGGGGGGGGGTAAAGGTGGAATGTATCTAGTTTCAGGCCATATATTGTTTCCATTCATGGGAAATTTTTTGTAATGGTAAATCTTCATATACATTTATCTACAAAAAAATTAGATCCATAAACTTCTCCACATCTCTATTAAGGTAGCTAATGGTAGACACAAAATGAACATACCGATAACTATTTAGTTGCCACATCCTGCATGATCATGTTCTTTATTCTAGATCAACATAATATGCCTCACTTCCTGACCTAGTATCAAACTAGTTGATTCCACTTGGCAATACCTCCAAAAACCTTTGATTAGTCTTTAACTCATTCAACCTCATCCTTATTTCACGAGCAACATTGTAACATCCCAAAATTATAAGGTAAAAATTTCATTTTTAATTCAACCAAAACATTAATTTTCTTTAAGTCAACATTCAACATTCTTTTTTTAAATATTAAAAAGTACTTTATAAGAAAATAGTTATCAGAGTACAATCCCAAAATCATTACAATGCAGAAACATGGGTGGATGTGCTGCGATCAAGTCGGGCCTTTCCCTTTCGAGCCGAAAATACATAAAACCATAACCATAAAAACCGTAAACATAAAGCTTAGTGAGTTCCCCAAAATACCACATACCACACATACCATTGAGCCTAGCCCTCACATTGGGCCCAACCAGCACATTGAGCCCAACCCACCATAATAGGCCTAGCCCGACCAAGCTAATGGGCCTAGCCCGATCATACAAATGCAAAAGTCACAATGACAGTTAGCACCTATATAACATACAATGGGCCTAGCCCCTCCTGATCCATGGGCCTAACCCAACATTCAAATGGGCCTTGACCGACATACAATGGGCCTAGCCCAACATACCATGCAAGAGTCACCAAGACAACTAGCATAACAAAAACTAGTGGGCCGGCATTGGTGCCTTCGACCCACGAGTACAGTGAGGAGACTCACCTCAATCCGCTGATAATCAAATAACTGCTCATGTCGCTGAACCGGATAACCTCGCACCAACTAACAATAAATACATTCTTAATCAATAGTTAACCCGATAACCCAAAATCGGATGCCCACTCCATAAACCAATCTCCTAAAGGGTAAAAGACCATTTTACCATTTTCCTACTTGTCCCAAAACCAAGGGCCAACCCAAAATGCACAAAAAGCCCAAAACCCAAAATGACAATCCAAAGCCCAATATGGCCCAACTTCCTAGTTGGGCCCAAAAACTGTCATAGAACCAATACCAAGAAAGCTCACAGCCTAACCATGGCCCAAAGCCAAAAGCCCAATGGCCCAACAACGCCCAAACCTCAAAAAGCCCAAAATGACAAGTTGGGGAGTACGCCCTGCGTACTCACCCTCGAAGCATAGAGTACAAGCGGCTGATGCACAAAACCTTCATTACGCTGAGCATACTTCCTACGTACGCCCAACGTACTCATCAAGGACCAAAAATGCATATTAGGTTCTTAATGGTTGAGACAATGACTTCTAAACTCATATATGACCCTAATGAGATGTCTTAACACGTAAAGTTCATAACTTTACTCCTTTGCATGGCTTAATGGGACCAAATCCTTAATAACATCCATAATAAACATCTAAACTCATGCATGGTCCAAAATAACTCATCAAGATGATATTTTTATAAACAAGGGACCTCCCAAAGGCCAAGATCCAACATTCTAAGCTCTTTGAGTAGCTCATACTCACAAGGATGACTCTAAGGACTAAAATGAACCCAAAATACTCCTTAAACTAGATCTAACACCTAGGTTCATTAAGATAGAAACTTTATACCTTCTAAATTTAGATCAAGATGCAAAAAGCTTGGATCCAAAAGCTTCAAGCAAACCCACACTTCTCCAAGAAGTTCATTCTTCTTCAATCAACACCAAAAAGCATGAAATACCACCAAAAGCTCAAAAACCACTCAAATGGGGGCTAGGATTTCGTTTCTAGGGTTTAGAGGGATGGAGGCTGAATGATAATAGGGTTTGGTGGTGAGTTAAGGAGCTTAAATAGGGTCCAGAACCCTAAATTAGGGTTTTGGATCTGATTGGAGTACGTACTGCATACTTCTAGAACGCCCATTGTACTCCCTTAAGCCTCCGCGATCCATCTGCTTAGTATGCCCATCGTACACCAAAGTACGCCCCGCGTACTTGCCTTAACACTAGTACGCCATGCGTACACTTGTGTACGACCCGCGTACTCGGTTTAACCCTAAAACCACCAAACTTCCGAAGGCCATAACTTCTTCATTATAAGTCCGTTTCCGACGATCCTTATATCCACAAAAAGGCAACGAGAAGCTCTATGTTTATATAAAATAATCCTTGCCTTAAAACTTCCCGAACAAAAATCCAATTTCCATAAAAGCCCGAACTAACACTTTACCGATATACCCCTTGGCTCCAAAACACAAAACGAACTCCCAGATCATCTAAATTACATTACCTACACCTAAATGGGTCTAAATCTCTCTTTCCCCAAAGGCCCTAATCCTGATGATACCCAATCTTCGGGTCACCGCCTCGCATTAGGAAATGATTCAGAACATGGCGTTACAACTCTCCCCCACTTAAATTAGATTTTGTCCTCGAAATCACTCCTTACCACCCTCCTAGAAACCAACGCTCCAATCAAAACCTTCTAGTGTTGAACAAAACATTGATGCCATAACTGCCGATCCAACACGATACTGCTGAAAACCCGAAATCTCATCACTTGCCTAACCTCCACACAGGTGGAACCAATCCGAAACATAATCACAAGAGTCTCGACTAAAAGCCAACTCGGTACATAACTCATAACCGGAGATCCAATGAAATACACTTGCATTTCACCTTAAATCTTCTGATCCACTGCATCCATTCACTAAACCGGGATATAAAATCCCCAACCACCACTGAGACTACCAGTCTCACACCTGGTCCGGCCACCAGGTTCTTGAGAGTCTAACTGATGAGGCTACCCTAGCCTATGCACCACACTATGCCACTCCTTGCCCACATAATCATCCTACTAAAGCCATAATCCAATTCCTTGACCCAACCGGTCTCTACCTGGTCTCATCATGCATTGCCATAATCATATGGGCCTCGCCCACGGGTCTCAACCAATCTATACCAAAGAATGTGCCAAGCCCACGGGTCTCACCCCATCGAGAGCTACACAGGCCCAACCTCGCCTCAGACCCCAATAATCCTCTTCCCATAACAAAGAGATGCTCTTCGACCCCATTGTCCGCCTTGCCCAAGGCACGAGCTGATCCTCCTTTATACTCACGACCACCCCCAACGATGGTCTACCTCAATCTGGTGAGTGCTACGATCCCATTGCAGACTTACAACACTTCCATACTATCTGCCAATCCAGTGAATGCTACGGCCACCCCGCAATCTTACGACACACCTATCTCGCCATGGTCACCGCCCATGGTCTTACCACACCTCTACTATATCAACCACAATCATCCTGCGTCGAATCCGCATCCGAATGTACCCCAATTAGGTGTTTGGGTCATGCTTCGAACCCCAAAGCCTTCATCAAACAAGAACAGGCAGCGAGGCTCTAACACTACCCTCAACCTGGATCCATCCACATGCCTGTTATCCATCACAAAGAAGATGCCAACCAGTTGTTGGAGGTTTCCTGAACTCCCAACCTACACAACTTCAATCCAGACGGCCACTTGAGTCGTCTTTTCTCTCGACTAGGATGTGAAACTCACCCTAGTTTCACACCTGATTCAACTTCCGGAAATATGAACGATTCTCCCTCACTTGGATTCGTCAAAGCTCTCCCAACCCACAAAATTTGATGGATTCCCAATCCATCTTACATCCCTATAACTCGAACAGTCAACGACCTGAGCTTACCAAGATCTAGCATTCCATTACTATCCAATCCCGATGATCGCACAACTCTTGAAATCCAGATGAATACTCCCCGAAATCTCAGCAAGCCCGATAACCCCAATCGATTCTAATTATACATCACCAAATCCTTAAGTCCTTTATGATGGTGACAAAGACTATAACCCTTGCTCTGAACTGGCGAATCTTCACTCCAACTTACCATCCTCAGAAGAATCTCTGAATTCTAACCATCTTCAACCCTTGCGATAATAAAATTCCCCTGACACTTCCAATGACCAAACAAACTCATGTGGTTGCCACCACCATCTTCTTGCTACCGCTCCTTCACTAGCAACGATAGTGATTAAACCCAAAGGTTCTTCTAAAGGTTCTTCCATGGACGGATGCCACCACCATCTTCTTGCTACCCATGAATTGACCCCATCAAAGAACCGGAGCAAAAACGAACAAACTGAATTTCGCTCAGTAAGATACGACCCACTAATGACTATTGGCATGCAAAATGGCATATAACAATTCTTGATGATATAACCCAGGCAATAACAAAGAACTAAACCAAAGATAATGCTTACCCAAACCAATACAAATATTCTAAAGCAATATAAATACTGATAATAATCAAGAAGAAATCAAAGAATATATACCCACAATAGCACCTGATGAAACCCTGGCCTCCCCTGACTGACACTACAATGCTTGGATCCTAGCTGCTGCGGATCCTGCCCTACCCTCACGATCGTCAGTGATCCTCAAAGTAACCGGAGCAGGTGCATTCACTGCTCTGACCCTCAACATTGGACAGTCGGCCTTCTTGTGGCCCACCTGATTGCAGTGAAAAACACATCAGATTCGACCCACGGGGGAAATCCCGACTAAAATGACCCATCTGACCACAACTGAAACATCATCGGCCTGTGTCCCGACATCCTCCATCATGGGTCCTCCCACACTTGGCACAACGAACCTGGCCCTAATGGCGTCCCAAACATGAATCCTGAGTCCTGGGGCTCTTCATCTGGTCTACTAAAATCTGAGTCTGCTCTGGTTTCCTCTTCCCGAGGTGCTCCAAATCAACCTCAT